CTGGTAACACTCCAACAGCTACTGGTAGATATGAAGGAAGCTCACTCTATAATTATAGAAGAAGCAAGAAAGTTCAAGCAGCCATATCTAACCTGCTGTACGTATTAATATACTTGTGCATATCCAGGCCAGATACTCTTAATGTATTGTACTACATCAGCTCAGCATGCAAGCTTGATATGCTATTGCAATTTGTTTTGCTTGCAAAACTGCAACTACAAATGCATATAATGTGCATGCAAGGAAATTAATTATTACCGTTTAATTTATTTTAGTGAGGAAAGAGCTACAAAGAGTTTATTATCAACTGCACAGTTTAATAGAAGGAAAGCAGGACAGCAGAAAAATGAGCCTGAGCTGTCTGATACTGTTATGAGCAAGGAAAGAAAGATAAGGGTGAGAGAATTGAATTATTTTCCTGCAAATTTGCAAAATTTTGCAATTACCAGTAATTATTATGATTCATGGCTTTATTTTTACCTTCTTGACATGTAGTTAAATTATGAGTTCCTTCGTAAATGTGTTTCATCAGCTCCTGTTACTCCAATGCTGCCAGAGATGTGGAAACACATCCTCTCATATATCTCATCCCGCTATCTCTCTCACCCTCTCTCTAAACCACTCCTGCCTCAGTTGTATAGTGAAATCAGTAGCAGCTATGAAGATACCATCAGAAAAACCACTAGTAATTACATGTATATTATCAATGCATGCATGTACAAAATTATTTTTACGAATATTTACATGTATTTTTTTAGTTCGTATGACATTGGTCAAGCCATCAGTCAGTGGATTGGATCCAGAGCCACCACTTTACCTAGAACCCTTGTACGTGTTCTGAAATTATTAAGACACCTCCTCATAATTTTTCAATAATCTAGGGGTCTTGATTTCTCTACTACATGGCGTGATAGATATGATTCATCTGTAAGAACTCTATCATCAGTTCTGCATGTAACGCATCCAGTAATGCCTGCACTGTTGTCTTTATGGGAACAACAGAATGTGAAGCATCTAGTGGAGTATTCTAATATCAGGTAATAATTATTTTAAGAATAATTATTCTTAATCTTTTTTTTTGATTAATTGTCAATAACCTCCTTCTTAATTTTTTTGTTCCTCTTCTCCTCTCTTTCTCTCTTTGAAGGTCCAAGTGCCCAATGGAGCTCGAGAATTTTCGTAACATGATACTATTAGATGTACAGCATGCTGAAGAGAAGCTAATGAATTCCTGGTACAGTAAAGTGATATCATTGTTCAGTGGCGATGATAAACTGGTACGCAACAAGCCACAAGAACAAACAGAGACATTTTACGAATCCGTTAGTACTCTCATTGGCAATCAAATTAGGTTAGCATTAATTGATGTGCATATGTACATGTTTCTACATAAAATCTTCCTCTTTTTTTCCTTGTTTTTCTCTCCCTTATTTCAGGTCATTACTTACTAATACACTCCATTCTTTTGTGAGCATATTTGATGCTGCCAACACTGCCCACCTTCCAATCTTTAGACTAGAGCTCTGTCTTGAAGATGATACTATATTCTTCTTTCCTAGTGTAAATGACTTTGAGTCTGCAATTGATTTTATTATAAGCACAATATCAAAGGCTTTGCAAGAAGTAGGACAGATACAGGTAAGATAGCATGTGCTTTATTGTAGTAGTGGTACAGGGTATTTCGGCAAAAATGACTAGGAGAGAATTTTTCATTTTTATAATTTTTCCTGATACATATACGTGTTTTTATGCTGTGTAGCAAGTTTGAGCTCATTCCAATTAAAATTGGATTTGTTATAAATTTTTAAAGTTGCTCCAAAATTGAGCCAAAGTCCCTGTACTATAGTACAGGGATTTTGGCCAAATTTCACCAAAAATGACTAGGAGAGAATTTTTCATTTTTATAATTTTTCCTGATACATATAAATGTTTTTATGCTGTGTAGCAAGTTTGAGCTGATTCCGATGAAAATTGAATTTTTTTATGAATTTTTAAATTTGTCCC